TTTAGGGATTGCCTAAAGGCAGTCCAGGTGGGAGACAGAGACGGACAGGTTGGGGTAAAGCGTTCCAGAGGATGGGAGAGTCTCTAGTGAAGTCCTGGAGGCAAGCATGGGAGAAGTTGATGAGGGAGCTGGAAAGCAGGAGGTCTTTTGAAGAGCGGAGGGACTACTGCGAGTGAGCTATGCCCTCATGACACCCCTTAGGACCACCCTATTAGCAATTCAAAGGAGATACCTCTCTATCCCCCGTGTTCTTTTTCTGTCTTCGCTCCGTCTATTGAGTTGGAGCATGTATTATTCTCATAAAATGAAATTAGCCCAGTTGGGTTCAGCCTCTCGCGGCTGAATGGCGGCCTGTCCGGTGTGTGTAAAAATATACCAGACCATTTAACAAACGGAAGCCAGTCAGAATATTTTCTTCCTTCACTGGCCTGCATAAGCAGCTAGGCAGTGAAGAACGTTGACTGATGGTTGCTGTGGCCCTGAGTCTGCACAGTAAGAACCAAAGGGCAACATGAGGCCCTCAGGTGGAGGTTGGGCACCAGGGGATTAAAGTAAAATCTGTGGCAAGGCTATATAAAGTAAGTCCTCACTGACCTCTGTAGCTGCAGGCACTGTGGAGTAATTATTCCTCAAAGTCCAATATTAAATCAGTGAAGTTCTTGAAGTTTGGTCTCGGCACTCTGTTCTCCCCTCTCGTGTCTGTGCCCTTGCTTCGTGTTTACATTAGATATCAGCAGGTTCCCAGTTCACTGCTGGGAGAGGGAAGCTGAATACTGGAAGAAAATGAACATGAAAGTGCTTTATGATGTGAACTTCACGGATGAATAACTCCACAGTGTCTGCAGCTACAGAGGTCATTGAGGGCTTCTTTGAAAGCTCATTGCCTGCTTGCTCCAATAAAGCCTCCATTGCCTGGCCACACTTGCACCGGTTTGTACTTTTGAGGCCGGTTTGTACTTTTGCTAATGTAGACAATCATTTTCCCATCTCAGAAGACCTATTTATATCTTTATGGTTTAATCCTGCAGTTGTAATTGTGTCGGTGACATCACTGGCAACAGGTCGGTAAATCTTCTGTACGTGTGGAGTTAATGAGCCGCACGCTTCCAGGAGAGCTTCATACATGGTTAGAATAGCCAATCAGGCCATACAGCACTTTGCAATAATCAGCGGTCGTCTTCTGAGCCATAAAATAATTAACTCTTGGAAGTGGCATGAGGTGAGCGGCTGGCCCCACATCATCGTGGTCTGCTCCAATCGGCAGATTAGGATGATGGTGACCTGTGTATTTTTCACCTTGAGCCTGCCATAGCTCGATGGCACTTCATTTACAGCAAACCCCAAACACCGTTCTGAAAACCCAGAGAATTTGCTGAGATATGTAGGCCGCTAGTTCTGATTTCTTCTTCTGAACATGCCAGATACCCGGCTGCCGTACCTGTGATCGTTGTCACCGGAACAGTTGTCTCTGTTGGGGAGATTTTCCCTGTCATTGGTGGGAATTCCTCTTGCTGGGGATATTTTGCATCACTTGCTGTGTGGCTACAGGGACAGGAAGTGAGAGTAAATCTTTCCAACAGGGATCCCGGAGAGCCATAAAATCTTGGCAAAGTTTTTAACTAGGGATGCTCCGATATATCGGCCAAAAATTGCACTTTTGGCTAAATGCCGAAACTGCCATTTTCCTGCCGATACAGCAGCGCATCCCAGGTTTCTTTCCTCCCTGCTGGGCGCGGCTTTCCTCCCTGCTGGGAGAGAAAGTGACCGCCGGCCAAGCGCTGCGGGAGGAGAGCACTGTGAGCGGCCGGTGTCTCTCCTCCCATACCGCTCAGCCGCCTATTACAGTCCGGCAGAGCGGTGTGGGAGCGGAGACAGCGCTGTCACAGGAGGCTGAGCTCTCCTCCTGCACCGTCCCGCTCAGCCTCCTGTGACAGCGTGTCAGAGAGGAGAGCAAACACTCAGTGATCAGTGATCGCTGAGTGTTTGTCCATAACTGAGGACAGAGTATGTTTACTATATCCTCAATTTTGAATGAATGGGAAGTGAGCTAAATCACCTCCTGTTCATTCATGATTGTGGTTATAGTAAACACACTCTGTCCTCATGTTATGAATGAACAGGAACACTGAGTATAAAGGATTCCTGATCATTGATAACGGGATACAGAAAAAGAGATTTAGGACTCTGTGTCCTCAATCTCTTTTTCTATTTTAAAAGGGAAATATCAGGGGTCTCTTTAGACCCCTTATACTTCCCCGAAGTCCCTAAAAGTAAAGTAAAAAATAAAAATATTATTCTTTTCGGTTTTTAAATTTCTATTTTGGTGGACCTCTAGTTTTAACCCTTTTCCACCAAACAATGTTGGCTGGAGTTCTATGAGCAGCAGATCTGTGATGCGTTTTGGTGAATCTCATGAACTGCATTTTGTATGGTTTTTGTCAATTTGTATACATTGTTATTATGTAATACAGAGTCAGTCCACGGCATGCTGAGCTTTGTAATGAGAAAACCCCGCAATGCCTGACAGCCCCTATACAACAGACTGAAACAGAGCGTCTTCTTCTAGGGAGGGAGTTGTCCATGCACCATGTCACTCAGCAGTCTGTGTAATCTCATCTCTCCTGCTCTTCAGGTTTATTTTTAATGCAATCGGCTCAGTTCACAAAGGTGACACAGTAGAATAAATATCCTTACTTTCAAAAAACTTTACTTTCAGTAGAGTCCAATGAAATTTGAGCATTACAATCACACGGCTGCAAGTAGTATGCCTTGGACTGGTTTTGAAGCTCTGTGAATTGGGCCCACTGGCTTCTGATAGGAAACTCCATGTCATTTCTAGAGTCTCTGTGCTCCTGCAGATATTACATTTGATATATTCATAGGCAATATTTTGCTGCTACCAGGTTTTACAAATTGAAAAATGTATAAGAATAATAAATAATAAGAGACACTGTTACCTTTCCCATTCTTTGCAAAGGGACGCTCTCGACCCACTGATTCTCACCTTGCACGTACTTCCACAATGCATCCTCCTTCGTCACAGCGGCACTAAAATACCATTTCTCGCCTGGTGGTAAAAGCCAGAGGGAGTGGTGAAGGCACCCTCTATCATGTGACCGTGCTTGGGCATAGCGATTGGCTACTAGACCCGAGTATTGTCACAAGGAAGGAGGTCACATGCTCGCCCATACCTGGAAGCACTGGGTTCTCTGGCTGCTATGAAGGAATGATCGGTGGGGTAGTGTCATCAAGGCAAGTGTCAGAGAGTCGTTAGGGGAAGGGAGCAGCATAGCAAAGACGCTGTCATGTAGACCTATAGGTGCAAAGAAAGCTATATATTCTGTTTAAGACACCAAGACAAAATTGTACTTTAAAATAGACACTTCCATCAAGTTCAACCAAAGACAATATAAAAATGTTAAACCTTGTATGCTTAGACCCCTAAACCCACAATTGATCCAGAGTAAGGCAAAAATGCTTATAAAGTGTGCTTCAACTGTTTGCCCTTTACAGCAGACATGCATGCATCAGCATTGGTGCAGTTGCATCCTGTGGGATCAGCATTGGTGCAGTTGCATCCTGTGGGATCAGCATTGGTGCAGTTGCATCCTGTAGGATCAGCATTAATGCATTCCCCTCCTGTGGGAACAGCACCAGTGTTGGGGCAATCACCTGGTGGGAGCAGCATCAGTGATGGTCCATTCCCCTCCTGTGGGAGCAGCATCAGTGATGGTCCATTCCCCTCCTGTGGGAACAGCACCAGTGTTGGGGCAATCACCTGGTGGGAGCAGCATCAGTGATGGTCCATTCCCCTCCTGTGGGAGCAGCATCAGTGATGGTCCATTCCCCTCCTGTGGGAGCAGCATCAGTGATGGTCCATTCCCCTCCTGTGGGAGCAGCACCAGTGTTGGGGCAATCACCTGGTGGGAGCAGCATCAGTGATGGTCCATTCCCCTCCTGTGGGAACAGCACCGATGTTGGGGCAATCACCTGGTGGGAGCAGCATCAGTGATGGTCCATTCCCCTCCTGTGGGAGCAGCATCAGTGATGGTCCATTCCCCTCCTGTGGGAGCAGCATCAGTGATGGTCCATTCCCCTCCTGTGGGAGCAGCATCAGTGATGGTCCATTCCCCTCCTGTGGGAGCAGCATTGGTGCAGTTGCGTCCTGTGGGAGCAGCATCAGTGATGGTCCATTCCCCTCCTGTGGGAACAGCACCAGTGTTGGGGCAATCACCTGGTGGGAGCAGCATCAGTGATGGTCCATTCCCCTCCTGTGGGAGCAGCATCAGTGATGGTCCATTCCCTTCCTGTGGGATCAGCATTGGTGCAGTTGCGTCCTGTGGGAGCAGCATCAGTGATGGTCCATTCCCCTCCTGTGGGAGCAGCATCAGTGATGGTCCATTCCCTTCCTGTGGGAGCAGCATCAGCATTGGTGCAGTTGCGTCCTGTGGGAGCAGCATCAGTGATGGTCCATTCCCCTCCTGTGGGAGCATTATCAGTGTTGGTGCATTTATCTCCTATGAGAGCAGCAGCGTTGGTGCATTTGTATCCTGTGGGAGGCTTCCACACTGGTACTCGGAGCAGGTTAGCTCTGCCCCTGTAGCTGTGGGTAGGCTTCCTGATGAGGACAATGTGATGACGGTTTGTGAGTTCAGCCCAGTTCACAGAAATCCTAATAATGTGAGAAAAGTGCATGATTCTAACAGGCTAAATCTAAACGAGAATGTGGCCCCTCTCTTGTGATAATAGAGCAGGGGAGATCAGACTACACACACAGCTGAATCATTTACTGCAGGGACACACTTTTTCTAGTTGAGCCTGGCTTATCGATTTGATTACAGGTTGTCAGCAAGCATGCAGGCTAATAACAAAATCCCAGCATGCTTTGCAGACTCTGAGCCATGGATGTTTATGAAATGCTGATGTGTATCTGGTTGTTTCTTACTGCGTCTAGCGCTGGTGAATTGACCGTCTTTCTTTTTGTTTTCCTTCTCTTGCAGTTAACACTGACGCCAGCTCAGCAACAGATGTTGCTACAGCAGGCACAGGCACAGTTGCTGGCCGCTGCAGTGCAACACTCCGCTAGCCAGCAACACAGCGCGGCCGGAGCCACCATCTCAGCCTCTGCTGCTACTCCGATGACACAGATCCCCCTGTCCCAGCCAATACAGATTGCACAGGTGAGAGCGCCGATGCTGAATGGTCACGTTCCCGAGTCATAGTCATGGTGGCTCTTTGTGTAACTACATGTTTCTGCCTTTAGGACCTGCAGCAGTTACAGCAACTTCAGCAGCAAAATCTTAACCTGCAGCAGTTTGTATTGGTGCACCCGACGACCAGCCTGCCGCAAGCGCAATTCATCATCTCACAGACGCCGCAGGGGCAACAAGGTAAAACTTTCAACCGTCTCATGTTTTTATTCTGTCACCGGTCTCTAGTGAATGGATAGGCTGCATCCTCAGTGATGTCACCGGTCTCTAGTGAATGGATAGGCTGCATCCTCAGTGATGTCACCGGTCTCTAGTGAATGGATAGGCTGCATTCTCAGTGATGTCACCGGTCTCTAGTGAATGGGTAGGCTGCATTCTCAGTGATGTCACCGGTCTCTAGTGAATGGGTAGGCTGCATTCTCAGTGATGTCACCGGTCTCTAGTGAAGGGATAGGCTGTTTATTTAGTGATGTCACTGATTTTTGGTGAAGTTTAATTTAAGCCGTGTTGGAAAGTCTCGTAGTTGTGATTGGAGTCATGGTGCATTACCCTGTACTGTCTTTTGTCTTGTCTCCACAGGCCTTCTGCAGGCACAGAATCTCTTAACACAGCTACCTCAGCAAAGCCAAGCCAACCTCCTGCACTCTCAACCAAGCATCACCCTCACCTCACAGGTCCGTCCCCTCTGCGATTTCTCATTAACGTGGCAAAGTTCCAACATTGTTACCGTCTACATTAATCCATCTCTGCGCAAAATAATATTCCAATTATTCATGTGCGTTGCCCTGCATACAAAGATGCTAATCCGGAGTGCAAGATGAATGCTTGCCTTCAAATTTCACACGGATCCTGTTTCTATTAAGTCCTTGGTTGCTAGGACTGCTGGTGTCCTAGCAACCAATGATGTCAGGGGTCCTCCTTTGCAGTCATTGGTTTGCGTGGAGCGCTGGGGCTGTTGTGGCGGGCCAAACCAATAGGCCCAAAAGTCTCGGTTTCTCACGTGGCCCCTTGAAAAAAATGAATTGCCAATGCTTGTTAAACCATTCCTTACTCTATAAGTAAAGCAGAAATAGAAACTTGAGTTTAGATACACTTTAAAACCTGACAAAAGTTTTAACACTTCCCCACTTTATCCAAAACATTAAATTGGAACTCCGGTCTTCTCTTCAGTCTTGCATAGCTGTACCGGCTCCTCTCCTGGACTGGAATGGCTTCCTCTGATGTCACTGCACCCTGTGAGCTTCTGACAATGTGCATTAGAAGCTGCAGCAAGTCAGATAGAACCCGCCTCATTTCCTGGCTGGAGGACATGCTGCATCATTTAGCAATTTCCTCACCTGCCAGACCGTCCCTGACCCGCCCCTTTCATTCATTGGATTTGAACTCTTTCTATCATGGGAGCTCAGCATCACATGTGGGCAATACCTAGAGGGGTCTGCATACAAATGAACCCTGCTCAGATCCACCCTCTCCTCCAATCTGACATCCACCTATCAAAACCAGGAATTTTGATATAACTCCTCATAAGAGCCCACCCACTTCTTCCGTCAAGGCTGAGAGCTCTTGAGAGGAGTACTGATGTTTTCAGGATGTCATGTACAGCCCTCTGCTGGCCCCTCCCACCAGCTGTGGTCTGCCTGCATTCCATAGAGAAGCACATAGTTTATACCCAGTGATGTCATCACTTGCTCTAAGGTATGTAATGAAAATAGTTGATTTAGGCTAGGTTCACACCTGCACTACAGCGCACAACACCCAGCACGCGCGCCCTGCCGTGCAGCCCCATTGATTTCAATGGGGTGACATCTGCGCTGCAATCACGCGGGGGGGGTGGGGGCAGGGAAGGTAAAATATAAGGTTAAACTTCAACTTTGGAAAGCCTTTCAATTTCTGTGCATGAGACATCAGCTTTCCTCTCGATGGCGAATTCAGTAAGATATAAACTTTATTTTTAACTTTTTCTTTATTTTTTTCTTACAGCCAGCAACCCCCACACGCACAATAGCTGCGACCCCTGTACAACATCTTCCACAGAGCCAGACGACACCAAAGCGAATCGACACTCCAAGTCTGGAAGAGCCCAGCGACCTGGAGGAGCTCGAACAGTTTGCAAAGACGTTTAAACAAAGACGCATCAAACTTGGTTTCACTCAGGTGACCGCCAGTGGGGCGACTTGGAGTGTGTGCATGGGGGGGAGGGTGCGAAAATGCTTCACGTTGACCAGGCAACCACTTAACAAGCTGTTCCCTGACCCCCCCCTGTGTGGAGGGACGTCACATAATAAAACAGCAGCTTCTGCCTTGCCCTATAGTTTAAATGCCTCAGTGTTTTTCACAGCAGGCACCCTGCTCTTACCATCGCATGGCGCCGTTTGCCCCGCATGCTTCCAGCTCGCAAAATGTACCATTTCAGGTATAAAGGTTAATACACCTAAAAGCAGCACTGAAGTATGTAACCTTTAATCCTAATTACACATCTTAAGAGCGTCGTGCAATTTAACAAAGTCAGAAAGGTGTATTAAACCTCCGCAGCAATTCATCGCCCCTTAGCGCACGTTGACATACAAATGAACTTTGCGGCGCCTTGAGATTTCCGCGGGATGCTGATGAGTCGTTCTATCAGGGATGGTAATTCTGTATCTTAGCACCACCAAGTGGCTGTTCTGTTTTACAAACAAATCACAAGTCTGTAATTAGAGATTGGTTTGCAGAGGGCTTCATAGTCTTGCAGAACAGCTTTGTGGACGACAATAAAGCTTTGTTCATATATTTTTTTATTGGACAGCTTCTAGATTTTTCTAAAAGTATTCTCACAATTCTTCAAAAGTTTTGTCTATGAAGGTTCTCATTCATCCAGGTCATGGTATATCTGTTTTTTTTTTTTAACCCATCTCTGGGTAAACAAAATCCTTCCCCCTCGCATTGGGCTGCCCCCACACTGCAAGGGTTAATTGCTTGTTGTTGTCTAGCAGTATGGTGTAAAGAACTTTTACTTACCTGATCCCCGCTCTCCCAGCGGTCAGCACTCCTCCACTCCGGCTCTGTCCCTCTTTGCCCTCACATATAATGCAGGGCTATTGATCCTGCATTAGACAAGAGGAAGTCTGTGGGCCTCCGACCATAGGCGTGTGCCTGGGCACACCCTAATCGCCCCACGCGCAACATTAAAACCGCAACAGCGGGCGCCGTGTTTAGTCTCTGAGCCAGTGGAGGGATCGCAAAGATCTCTCTGTGCCCAGCTCAGCAATACAGAGCCAGCCCAGCAGCATTTGCCACTTACATTACTCACACAACAGCCACTGTCCTCAGTGCCTGGGAAGCTGCGAAGGAACGTGGCTGTGGCTTCCCATCCAATCAGGAAGCTGAGCGGGTGGTCACATGACCACTTGCCAGGCTCCTTTCTTCAATACTGCACCCCTGCTGGAAGAGGTAAGAGACAGTTGAAGAGATGGGAATCTGGGATTCCTCAGGTTTGTGTATGTATATAATATATATCTATGTATGTATGCGAGTGTGTTTGTCCTTTTGTGTTCACACCCTAATGCAATAGGCTGCGCCCGCCTATGCCTCCAACCAATGTGAGTATAAGTGCGTTATGAAGGTGCGCATTGAAGAGCACCACACTGTGAGTCAAGGTTATAGCTCTCCAACTAGCAGGGAACATGAGCTTTGCTGATTGCATAGCTTTACGTTTCATTTGGCCGGTAGCATGTTAGACTTCTGCAGAGAGACTCCTGCTTCCACACAGAGAGCAAGGGTCCTGGCAGGGGACAGACTTTTCTCCTTCAGTTGTGGCTTCTTTCCAAAGAAACCAAATAATAGGACTTTACCCCCAATTTTTATTACATCTGCAGATTTAAACGGAGAGTTCAGTTGGGCTTCATTTGGTTGCATTAAAGGAGAACTATGAGGTGAGGGCTTTTCACTCACCTCATAGTTCTAGCCGACCTGTGACAATGAGACTGTCACAGGTCGGCTCAGTAGATCGGGAGGTGAGCGAACACATATCGGCGTTCGCTCACCTCTCGATCCTGTTGCGGCTCTCTGCCGTGACAGGGGAGGGGCTGGATTCCCCGCTCCGATCCTCCAGCGCTGACTGGCGGATCGGGCGGGGGAGGGGACGGGTACAGCTGCCTCTGCCTCCAAATAGGTAGAGCCAGCTGTCAGTCACGCAGCTGGGCGGATCCCGGCACAATTGTCGGGATCCGTCTCAGCTGCGTCGTTTCAGTATACCGCGAGCTACAGCTCGCGCTATACTGAGCCTAGGGTGACGGGAGGACGCTAGTTTGTGTCCTCCCGTTACCCTAAGGAGAACTATGGGGAAAAGCCTTAACCCCATAGTTCTCCTTTAAGTTGATTTACATTTGTAAGCTTGTGAATAAAAACTTTTAAAAAGACAAAATACTTCATTGAATGAATGTGACGTGTGAACATTTTGCTGCTAGGTGACTTGTGTTCAGTTGAACTGATTCTTTCTTTATTTCCTTTAGGGTGATGTGGGGCTTGCTATGGGCAAACTCTATGGAAATGACTTCAGCCAAACTACTATTTCCCGCTTTGAAGCCTTGAACCTCAGCTTTAAAAATATGTGCAAGTTAAAGCCTCTCCTGGAAAAGTGGCTGAATGATGCAGGTAAGCAACATCGTGTGAGAGGACGTGCGGCATGGCGCTGTGTACTATAATGTCAGTAGGGTAGTGTGCACTGAATGCTTTATTGATGAATTGCGTTATATAGTAATCAGCTGCAAATTCTTCCTGTCTGTATTTCTCTTTTCTGTATCATACTAAACATTAGGGATGCACCGATACCAGTATTTCGGTATCGAGTACCAGTAGCGATATTTTTTTTTTTATACCCGCCGATACCGAATACAGGAAGTCCCATTAAGGAAGCCAGGCGGCGTGTAATGACTCGCCACCTGGCTTCCTGATTAGCCGGGAAGCCGGGCGAGGGGTGTAAAGACTCGCCACCCGGCTTCCCGCTTAGTAGGGAAGATGTCCCAATGCTTCTCATCACTAGGTGACAAAAAAGCATGGAGCCGGCTTTCTGGCCAACCAGGAAGCCGGGCGCCGTGTGATGACGCAGTGCCCAGCTTCGTGATTGGCCGGGAAGCCGGCTCCATTCATGATGAAGGAGCATGAAGCCGGCTTCCCGGCCAATCAGAAAGCCGGGTGCTGCGTCATTACATGGCGCCGGCTTCCTAATTGGCCAGCTTCCCGGCCAATCAGGGAGCGTGGCAGTGTGTAAGGACTCGCTGCCCAGCCTCCTGATACCGGAAGTATCGGGCTAGGTATCGGATCATTTGGGCGAGTACGAAAACTCGCCCAAATACTGGGCATCGGCACAGTGCACAGCACATAGACCCCAACTACCAGCCGATAGCCATGGGGCGGAGGTCTGCTTGAAGCAGATATGTCATGCCTCCACTTTGGAGATTCACCAGCTGTACCTGTCATGGTGATGGACCATCCAAAATGTTGCGTTGGTCACCAGAGCAGGAATAGAGGAGAAAACTTACAATGGGGACACTTGTTCATATGACACCTATCTTAATAAGGGATTTCCATTTACTTGGTAGGGATTTTAATTTATTTTCTGGTATGTCTGAGGCAGACAGCAACAAACATACCGTCTGGGATTTTAACCCTTCACTACTTTGGCTGTAAATGCACTTTAAAGTGACACTAAACTCAGGAGTTAAATCTTACAAATACATTCAAGTACCTGAACTAGTAACAACAATGTATCTTATTTGTGTATCACTGGCCTGTAGATCCTCCAATCATCTCTGAATTGGTGCTGACACTGTCCTTCCTTCTGGAGGGGGGCTACTTGTGTTCCCCATGGTCCCGGTTTGTGTTGTAAAGTAGTCACCGCTCCAAGCTCACCCCCATGATGGACTACAATCTCATGTTGAGTTCACTCATTTGTATGGAAGTTCTAGTCTATCATGGGAGTGAGCTTGGAGCGGTGACTACTTTACAAAACACACAGGGACCATGGGGAACAAAAGTCAAGTTGCATAACGGTAGAGTAGCGTGGTGAGCACCTCATAGTGAGACTTTATTAAACTTTAGAATTTTGGTCATTAAACAAATGTTTCATTTAATAAGATTGCAAAAGCATTTAGCTTAGTACTGTCTTAATATGTTGACTTCCAATCTTTGTATGACTGACCCCTGCAAGTTACGTAGATCTCCCTTTCTTTCGGCCAGAAAACATCACATCAGATTCTGCTCTCTCAAGTCCGAACGTTATGAACTCCCCGGGTCACGGGATCGAGGGGCTGAACCGCAGGAGGAAAAAACGCACCAGCATTGAGACCAACATACGCGTGGCCTTAGAGAAGAGTTTCCTGGAGGTCAGTGTCTTCCTTTTTTTTTTTTTCTTTTTGACTTCTCTCCAAAAACAGGTTCCGTTATGATAGTTATGATAGTTGTGTGTGTGTGTGTGTGTGTGTGTGTGTGTGTGTGTGTGTGTGTATAGCAAAAATCACATAGCTAGCTACCTTCTCTTGGTTCCACCCCTTTGTTACTTTATAGCTCTGCATTTAGCACAAGTCATGCTCCCTGCTGATTGCAGGGCTCTAGCTTTGACTCAGCAGGGGGTCTGGCAGATCTCTGTAGAGAGACGACTGTTTCCACCCAGAGAGCAAGAGTCCTCTACAGCATGCTGGCGGGAGACAGGAAAATAAACTAAATCTTTGCACATCTTTTGTCTTGATGCACTTAGAAATCTGATTTTAAGCTGGTAACTGCTTGCAATCCCCTGTATGAAAGAGCTCTGAAAGGGTGAGGGAGAAGCAGCACAAGGATGCAGTCAATTGTGCTTTTTGCTCCTGTCCTGACAAGGGACATGCTGAGAGGATGAGAGAGCAGAGTTTATGAGAGATATGCTCATTTTTCTGCTTCTTCTCCTTTCACCGTATAGTCACAGGCTGGGGGAGAGACCTGTAAGTGTTTCTGAACTGCAGCCAAGAACAATCAGGTCTCCTTCCCTGCCAGACTGGTATATATTGTGTGGCAAGTCTATGTAAATCTCAGAACTGGATGGACAGAAATACAAAACATTTGGCAGGTTAACCAGCTCCCATATGTGTTTTAGGCTGTGTATTTAGCGGTTTGCCTTCGGCCTTTAGTTCAGCTTTTACTAAAAGCACTTGACTTGGGTGCAAATTATTAAAGTGTGACCAGTCAGAAGAGAGGGGAGGGGTGTATATTTCCATTTTATATTGCAACCATAAACAAAAGCTTAAAGTGACATTAAACCCTCAGATTTCTTAACATAAAACAATACTGTAATGTGCGCCTTACTGTAATCCATGGTAGTTTCCCTTCTCTTTGCTGCTCTTCCTTTTAAATCCTCATGTCTTCTCATGCTGGGGGAGAACTTCCCTTTGCAGCTGAGTGCCTCTTCCTGTAGTGCTGGCTCAGGTTGCAAACCTATACACAGACACCATGTATCCATTCCAGAGACAAGGCAGTCTGCGGCAAAACAGAAGTTCTGCCCAACATGAGAAGAGATACAGATTTAAAAGGAAGAGCAGGAAAGAGAAGGGAAACTACCATGGATTACAGTAAGGCGCACATTACAGTATTGGTTTATGTTAAAAAATCTGAGGGTTTAATGTCACTTTAATGAATTAGATTCTGCTACAGCCAAAAATAAGAGATTCCAACTGTACCATTCTCCTCTGCTTAGGCACCTTCAGAGTGAAATCTGTGGAACGCATGTTTTGCGAGTTCACTTGCAACTAGGCGCACTTCTGATGAGCTGTTAGGTTTGGGGCCGGATTGGCTTCAGCATAGCGACATGACATGTTTCGCTTTCTTGGATATTATGCTCTTTGATATCTGGGGCCCAAAGACAGTTCTTTCACTGTGTTCAAAAGACATTAGAGATTAGTGACATTTAAATTGACTTAAAGTATAATTAAACTCTCGTTCGCTTGCTCCCGTCTGAAGATCTGGAGTAGGGCTGCAGCTAACGATTATTTTCATAATCGATTAGTTGCCCGATTATTTTTTCAATTAATTGATTAGTTGCATTAAAAAAATATCTCTCTTCTGCTCTCTCTTTCCCTCTACCTCCCTCTCTCTCTCTCCCTCCCTCTCTCTCCCTCTACACCCCCCACCAACTAATCGATAATGAGAATAGTTGCCAACTATTCTCATAAACGATTATTATCGATTTAACCAATTAGTTGTTATAGCCCTAATCTGGAGCTTCTCAAGCGGCCGTGCAGGATGATGGGGCGGGCACATGCGCAGTAGAGATCATCGGTGTGGAGAAGAGGACAGTGGAGGTAAATGCACGCAGCCGTGAGCGTGCACGTCGGACAGACAACGTGGGACCCGAGGAATCTGGAATCTGCGCTGGATCAGAGACCAGCACCAGCGCTGGAGGGACTCCTGAATACAAGTGGAAGGAAGAAGAAGATCGGATCAAGAGGCATCTTTTAAGGTAAGTCCTCAAAGCAGCATGGCGGGAGTAATGGTGACCTTAAGGCAATGGTGTCAGATTCTCTTTGTATCGATAAGATTTCCCCTTATGGTTCTAGAAAATCACAGTTTTGGTTTCCTGGCTCTTATTGTTTTTCTATATCCACATGAAACTATGAAATGCTAAAAAATATCTCAATGTCACATAGCTAAAGTCCAGAATCTCTTCCAACTGTCATCTTTCTGTCCCAGAACCCAAAGCCTACCTCGGAGGAGATTACCATGATTGCCGACCAGCTGCACATGGAGAAGGAGGTGATCCGTGTTTGGTTCTGCAACCGACGCCAGAAGGAGAAAAGGATCAACCCTCCCAGCAGTGGACTATCCGGTTCTTCTCCCATTAAAGCAATGTTCTCAAGTTCGACTCCTTTGGTAAGATGTGTGGGGGATGGGGGCTCCTTTATGGAGTCCTTTAAACATAAATTTAGGCCATTAAAATCATACAGGAGATTGGGCCACATGCCCAGGCCTGTGAATTTCCCACCATGAATACTCTATATGACCAGAAATGTTTGGACACCTGAACATCACACACCTATGAGCATATTGGACATCAGATTCCAATTCCATGATCAATAGCATGAAGCTGGCTATTGCTATTGTCACGTGCTGGCACGTGCTATTGTGTCTATAGGACAGGAAGTATATCGCAATCTCCCCAAAGGGACATAGATCACACAATAAAAAGAAAGCGGTGTTAACCCTTCCCTACATTGCATTAAGGCAATAATTTCGACCAGCACATCTCAACAACTCTCCTGATTGGCTCCATGCGTTTTGGCTGTGAAGCCGGCTTTCTGGCCAGTCAGCATCGATCCAGCCAAACAGCATGGAGCCGGCTTTCCGGCCAATCAGGAAGCCGGGCGGTGGGAAATAACTCACCTCCCGGCTTTCCAGCAAATCAGCATCGAGCCGGCCACACAGCATTGAGCCAGCTTCCCGGGCGATCAAGAACCCGGGCAGTGGGTAATGACATGACGCCTGGCTTCCTGATTGCCCGGGAAGCACGCTCCATGCTTGCACAAGTACTGGTATCGATACTCGGTATGGGCGAGTACCGAAATATAAATATCAGTACTTGTACTCAATAGCAAAAAAAAACAGTATCTCTATGTGGTTCAGTAACATGCATTAAAACGCACGTTTTTCCACAAGAAACCAGTATGAATGGTCCCTCAGGTGCCTGCTGCTTTTGAGATTCAACAGTCTAAAGGGGTGTCTAGAAATGACAAAGATGAATCAAGATAAAGGGATCACACAGGATTCACACATTATAGTAATTGGATTTATTGGAAGAATGTGTTAATCCTGGGTGAAAGTTGGGTGAAAACATAAATAGACCCCAAGGTTACCAGAGAGCAGAGAATTTTGCAGCGTGCCATGCGGTGGTGTAACCAAGCAATGCTAAAAAAAAGGAGCTCTGGGCAAGTAGGCTGTGTCTGTTTTATGATGAATTTGTGCCGTTTCCAGCAGAATTCGCTTTGTATTTTAGGCTTTCTGAAACTTTTTTTTTCCCTTCCTTTGTTTTCATTGAAATGTTTATATCTATTGTTCTATATCTATTGTTCTTCTGCCGCCGCTTTCTGTACGTAGCTCCGGCCCCATTGTGAAATAAAAGGTTCTGATCTCTGCAAGAGAGCAGTACATGGTTACAGGTGATTTATCCGGTGGTCACATGTCAGTGTATTATAAATAGCTCAGCCCGTGCAGTTGTGTTGGCGGTTCAGTTGGGGTAATTGAGCTGCGCGGAGCAGGTGGTCGCTGTCAGTGAATAACTGCAGGTGATGAATGTGTCACTTCGTGTACACAGGGCCGAATGCTGTCCCCTCCGCCCCTCCTCTATCTATGACTATAAAAGATCGGCTGGTTTATCGCAGATGTGCCCCTCTCATCTGCCCCCTCCTAGTGGCCTCACATTCTGTTTCTGCAGTATGGAATGATGGATAAGGATGAGCAAAACGGAGTTTCTATTTCCCTGAAATTGCAATAAAAATTGGGAGATTTTGGCAAAATTTTAGCTGTTTTGGTAAAATGCACTAAAGACAATAGAACCGGCGTTCTCTTCAGCCTTGCACAGTTGTACCGGCTCCTCTCCTGTACTGAGATTGCATACACTGATTTCACTGCATACTGTGAGCTCCTCAAAATGTGCATTAGAAACAGGAGCTAGTCAGATAGAACCTGCCTCATTTCCTATCTAGCCCTTTCCTCCCCCAGCCTGACTGTCCCTGGCCCACCCCTTTCATCCACGGAATTTCGGTTATTTCAAACATGGAGGCTCAGCATCACATGTGGGTGTTACCTAGACGGGTCTGCATGCAAATACAGCCAGCCTAGGACCGCCCACTCCTCCAGACTGACATCCATCAAGGCAACTTTGTATTTGTATAACTCCTCTCACTTCTTCTATCAAGGCTGGGGGCTCTTGAGAGGAGCACTGAGACAGGGTGCTGTGATGCTTTCAGGAAGCTATGAACAGCACCCTGCCAGCCCCTCCCGCCAGCCATGATCTGGCCGCATTCAGTAGAATAGCACAGAGACCTGGTGATGTCACTACTAAACTACCCTTAACATGCAAAAAAACCCACAACCCTCTAAATAAATAAAAATATTTTTTTTTCCCCAAGCCTAAGCAGCTCAGTGAGCGAAATTGAGTTTCAGCTTTGATCAAACTTTGGCAAAATCCGTCATTTTGCCAGGTAATCTGTTTAGTTGAACTTACTCAGCTCATCCCTACTGATAAAATCTGTAAAGAGTGTTTGGCACTGGGCATCCGGTATCATTTCCTTTATGAGGTCGGGAAAGAGGTTTGGCTGAGACGGCTTCCTCTAGAGGTGGCAAGGGATGAGGTGTTCCTTTGTCTCTTCATGGTGCCCAACTGCCCTTTGCTTTGTGCCCAACTGCCCTTTGCTTTGTGCCCAATTGGCCTTTTGCCTGCTGCAGGTACGGCCATGATCAGCCATTCCTCCCAGGCTTCCCCTCTGCTTTGCCATGTGACACATGAGAGGCAAAGATGAGCCTGAGAATGGTTTCCTCGGCTCTGCGCCGCTCTGTATCTGGTGGCCGAAAATGATATCGCTACATGAGTGATCCCACAGAGCCACTGGCAACACAGCCTGTGACTTTGCAGGTGCACTGCATAGGATAATGTGTGGACGCTGCTGTGGTCAAGCAGCCATGGCCCTTCCTGGATGTCTGGGATCCACCACTGCTTGTAGGGGTGCAAGGCAAAATTTTGCTAGTGCTCAAGCATACCCCCACCCCACCCCAATACCACCCCTGTTCCTCACACATTTACAGAGGAGTAGACCATTCCTACGTGCACCCCTGACCAGCTGCAAAGCCAAAAAATATTTGTCTGTGGAAAGGATATAGCCGACATATAGAGCCATTTACCCAGCCTGCATACAGCTTAGTAAATTGAATTATTTCCAGGATCGGAGGGTCCCTGGTGATTAAGATGGATATTATGGAAGAACTAATGTTTATGATGAGGCAGACCAATATAGGAATGAAAGAAATGACAAGACTTTTAGAAGGGGATTTGTCAACAGAAGTACGAGTGCTGCCATTGCTGACTTGATTGGAGGCACATGGGCCGGGTCTACTATGGTCATCCATGCTTCCCTACTAGGTAACTCTCTGTCCAAGAGTGAGTACACAGGTCAGGTGTTCCAACATATTTCTGGCATGGCTTTTCCTAGTCAGTGTTGAAAGGATTGACAGTGCTTGTTCCTCTGCCTTTCAACATGAGCCAGCCCCATCCACTCCGGGTTTCTTATAAGAGATGAGGGGAATCTTCATACCTAGTAGACGGGGCTGGTGGGTGTCAACGCCATTATTGCATTTCATTTCCTTCCCTGGTGCCATAAACAACTAGTGATTGGTCCCTTCTGGCCTTTGTATGTTGCATCTTTAGGACATGTCCTTGTAGTAGAGGAACATGTGTTGTCGGCACTATTGGTGTCACACCCCCTAACATTGGATCTTTTTGCTTTCTAGGTGGCCTCTACACCAAGCCTTGTGACAAGTACTGCAGCAAACACCTTGACTGTAAACCCAGTCCTCCCTCTAACCAGTGCGGCAGCAGCGGTCACCAGCTACTCTGTCCCAGGTAAGATTTGCCCATCCTCTACTGCTAATCAGCCATGTATTATTGTAACTCTCATCTGATTATGAATAAAATGTGTTGGAATTTTTAATTCTTTACTACATTTTGTCGGATCAAAAGTTCCGTACTTATATCTGCCGCATGGCCTGATTCAATAGAGTATACTCTCACAGAGAGAAAATGAAAATCACACCAACTCCAATCAGTGTAAAAATCACTTCTGCTTTATTGTTCCCCTTTTCAGGGTTTTTATTTAACATATGAACGTGTATATTTAAGCGTAGCATTGCAGAAAAGTATTTTAGTTTATATATTCTAGCTTATCATTGGTTAGATCCATTTATGCATAACTTCCTGCGAAGATGTTTATAGATGTTTATATCTTTCGTCTTGAGTGTTGTCTGAAGAGGAGACGCCAACTTGGTTCCTATTTCTACTGCATACTTCGGATCTGGAAATTGTACTTAACCACTTCCATTACACAGATGTCCTAAAGCAGACCTTTCAGTCATTTACACATCCTAATGAATAAATACAAGGTGCACCTTTTTTTATAGATAAACGTTTCCAATCCAGTCAATTAATAATTGACTGGACTATTACCTAGGCTGCACCAGGATTTACATAATTGTGTCATCTCTGAGCCTGCATCTTAGTCCAGGAAGTAGATGGTGACCCCTAAATGATGGTTGATAAAAAATAGTTTTGTCCTCTTAAAGAGAAAAACAGATACATGCAATGTGTGGAGGGG